TTGCACACTCAAATGACCAAATAAAAGACAACAGCACAAGGAGTGTCCATAGGGTCCCACGGCAAGGTTAGTGTATCCATTTTACCCACGCAATTATCTATTAAATAATGAAATCTAACAATTCATTTCATTATAACCGTCACTGCATGGTGTCTGAGTTTGTTCAACACTAGTTAACTTTGCCAGTTGCTAAGTGTATGTCCTGTGTTCTTTTAGCATGAGGTGTCACAAGAGGATGAAGACACCAGTGTCCACGAGGACGATCTCTCTCTCTCATTCAGTGAACGACCCCTTGAACTTCACTGTGGAGACAGTCTGATTATGGACATCGTTCATATTAATTACAAAGGAGGACTTGACTTTGACAGCTGCCAGCCCAGGTACCGACTCTCAACTTTTCACAATAATACATTTCAAAAATACCATCTTTTAACATGCCTTCATGTCCCCCCAGTTTCGCGGAGGAGGAGAGAGACAGCATGTTGGAGTCCAGATCGTCACCTCCGCCATCACCCTTCTTCAGCGCCATCCTCGCCGCTTTCCAACCAGCAGTGTGCGACGATGCGGAGGAGGCTTGGCAGAGTCACATCAACCAGCTTGTCACTGACTCAGATGGATCCTGTGCAGTCTACACTTTTCATGTGTTTTCTTCACTGTTTCAGGTATCATCATAGCATGGCCTTGGACTTACTAGTATTACCCTGCATCCCATTAGCAGTGTGCCTGGTCAAACAACTGAAAGGGTTACAGGATTGGCTACGGGTCTGATTAACTTTTGGAGAGAGGCTTCCTTTCGAACAAGAACTGAATCGTCTTTAGATACTTTTGTCTTTATCATTGACGAAATGTTGTTTACTTCCTTGGACAAAGCTGACAATGGGGCATTTTAAAAAAACGACATGTTTTTCATGCTTTGCAGAATATACAGACCAAATTTAGTTCCTTGACCTGTGATGCTGTGAGTTACCTTGGCAATGGCCTGAGAGGATTAGGATCAAAGCTTTTGAGGTCTTCTCAGATGCTGACTTCATGCTCGGAGTGCCCGACACTATTTATTGATGCAGACACTGTGAGTAAACCTGAGAGGTTTTTTTCTTCTTCACAGAATCAGTGTGGTATTGTTGAACAAATTCAACAGTAAAACTCTATTTTCACAGATTATGTCCTATGGGTTCTTGGAAAAAATGAAATTCAGCGTGTTGGAACTTCAAGAGTATCTTGATACTTACAACAACAGAAAAGAGGCAGCTCTCACTGTAAGCACATACGATATCAGACCTACAGTCTGAAGGTCAACACTATAATGTCACTGAGTTTTTAATCCTGGGATTTATTTTGGCTTTGTTTGCAAAAGTGGTTGAACAACTGTAAGGCCACCTTTCCCAGGAGTGCTGAGGGCAGTGTGATTACAAGTCAACCAGCGGAGCACAAAGACAAGGTAAAACTTTTTTCTATGGTTAAACCTCAACTTTTTAGGAATTTGAGCTATAACTCTGTCATGATATAAAATAAAAATACTGGTTTGGTTCTTTAATCCATTTAATCCATTCAGCCATTGTGTAAACACACAAACGGCGGATTTTAATGAACACAGCTGTTGATTCTTTAACAATGGAATAATACATTTGACTAAAAAATAGATTTCACTTCAACTGACCACTCGTACTGTATTCTCTGCATTACGATCACTGTGTGATACTTTAGCTCTGTGAGTGTTACCTCTAATTTTTTTACACAATGTCAATTTTAAGCTTTTGCAGCCTTAAGCTGCTGCACGTCACATTGATTATCTCATTCCAATGTGCTTTGTGATCATTTTTAGCTCTGTTGGGCATAGGAGCAAGGCTCTTGAGTTGCATTTGATTACAATTACACTACATTTGTGCTAATTAATTAGCAAAATTGTTAGTTTGCTTGGCTGATTTTACGTGGGTTTTTCTTTTTTAATTAAAGGTGCCCTGTGGAGCTTTCTTGTATTACATTCAATTTTATATATTGTACATCAAGGTCCTCGTTAACATTTGCAAAGAATTTCACAATTTTGTTGCTGCATTGCCTTTTATCTTAATGAGAAGGACTGTACAGATGGATGTCCTTATGGGAATGCATATGAATAAAACGGGGACCCTTTCAGTAAAGCTCCTTGCTCAAAAACTCCTCAGGGATCCTTTAATTCATGGCGACTACCAGCTCTCTTTACAGTTCTAATTTGCACATTTGCACACTTACTAACCCTCACTTTCCTCCTTGCATGCCAATACAACCCGTGCTCATTTTTTTGACCCATTTTCAAATAGAAATGTTGAGGACTTGCATGCCCTTCTCTTGATTCTGTGTTTTCCCTGCCTCTTTTCTGTCCTGTAACATGCTTTCTTTATAGCAAATGGAATTTCTGGCTGTAAGTTTGAATGACTCGTTTGTTTTTGTTATTTTAAATGCTCTTGTTCTGTTTTTAAAGGCATAGTTCTGGCTCACTGTTATCCTATTTTCAGCCCCTTTAAATTCTTCAGTCTAACTGCCGCAAGTCTGACCTCCATTTACAAGTAGTCCACCAGTAGCTTAATGTGAGTGTGCTAAAAGCCGAGCCCCACCCAATAAAGTATCAGTACATGATTGAGAAGGACAAACCTTGCCCAATGAACATGCCTTTTGCCAACAACCACTTTTCTCTTACTTTCAGCAACTGGAGCTCTGTCAAAGATTCTACAAACTCCATTTTCAGCTGCTGCTGCTTTTTCAGTCCTACTGTAAGCTGATTGAACAGGTCCACGGCATAAGCTCTATCCCTGAGGTACGGACATAAATCATTGGCTTGACTTCTCTTTTCGGAACCATGACCCGCACCTTCCAATCCATTAATGATATGAATCTCTTAATTCTAAGCTGACAAATATGTCGAGGGAGCTAAACGAGTTGAAGAGCAACCTGAGAGTAGCAGCGGCCTCTGTGACGTCAGATGAGATCGCTGTGCGTGATAACGCCTGCGCTGAGCCAACCTTCAGCTCCTCCGAGGCTGCCGTGCAGGCCATCCTCGAGTGTCTGAAGAACAACGCGTTTCACACGGCCATCCGCTACATTCGTGAGTGCAGGTGAGAAGAAGGCTTGTTTTCGTAGAAATCATGAATCTATGCCGTCAAAATATGTCTCCAGTGATACAAATAACATGTATGTTGTTTTTTTTATTATTGCAGAACAATGTGGCCTAAAGACATCTTTGGTAGCAACTCTGAGGATGAGGTCCAGACTTTACTCAACATCTACTTCAGACATCAAACCTTGGGTCAGACAGGAACTTTTGCTCTGGTGGGCTCAAAACAGGACCTGACAGAAATATCTGTCAAGTTGACGGAGCTTAACGGAGAGATCCGGGACATGATCCGCCGAGCCCAAAGCTACCGAGCCGTCGCAGCTTTCCTCCCAGACTCCAGCGCTTCAGGATCGACTCTTTGACGACCTGTCCTTTGGGCTGCTGCTAATGTTCTCAGTGGTTAACAAGCGCTCTGCTCTTGTCCGGAAACAACCAAACCCCCTTTCCTCTTCCCGCTCAAAGCACATCAGAATGTCACGTCAGGTCATCAGATGTGCAGCAATACTGTCGTTTGTTTTTAGAGAGATGAGAAACTTTGCTGTCGCAGAGGAACTTAGAGTTTTATTGCACTAATAATATAAATTGTCACAAAGCGAACATTTGCTACTGAGGTCAACAACTTTCACATTTAACAAGTGACATACCAAAGCTAAGTGATTCTCTTTCAGTTATGTAGTTTTAATTGTCAAGGGAAAATGTGCAATCCTATCAGAAAGTGGAAGAATTTTACTGTATCCTGAAAGAATGTATTTGAATATCATAGCATTGGAAAACGTAAACATTGTTAGTACAGAATAAGGAACGCTTCATTACTTATACATGTAAAAGTAATGGGTCTTTTTCGTGAGTGCGTGTGTGTGTGCTTGTGGTGTGTGTGGGCTTGAGTGTGTGATATAAATCTGAAGACCATCACAGATGGAATTATGGATTCTGATTTACAGAAATTGTTTGCATTTAACTACTTCAACATACTGCAAAACTACTGTAACGTCTCCCAAACCTACACAACATGCTGCTGGGTGGGCTATTTGTTACATGAAACATCTAACTGTACCATTAACTGTTCAGCTTTTAGCTATTAGGTAAATCATGTAATATTATTTGCAATAGAAAAATATGCATTTATCAGACTAGATTCATAATAAATAAACCTAGTTTTATCTTTAAACCCTGCCAAGCGTGCAAATGATATGTACTATAAAGTGTAATAGTAATGTTTATGAAAAAATACAGAAACTATTTTAACTGAATGATTGTACATGGGGGCTTTGCTCAGACTCATAAGATTGTATTTTTATGGACTTACAATTTGAGCTGCATGTAGAGGGAAAGAGCTATTTATAAATACATATATTCCACAAGACCTGTGCGTTTAGCTTCTCGCCTTGTAAATATCATTGCCTTTGCAATATACTGTACTTTGGTGTTCTGTACACTTATGTAACAGTAAAAATAAAACTTATTTGTTAATTGTGGTTTTATTTTGATTATTAGATTGTGATTTGTGTGATGTTGTTATTGTTAAGCTTTTCTTGTCCTTTCTTTTCATAAACTAGCTAATAGATAAAACCATTTATATCGCTCAAAGGGTCGTTTATAATACCCTGGCAGCAGCATTTATACCCAAGGCACGAGGGATAGACGTAAGATTGGAAGAACACATCCATGGCAAAAGGATCAAGAGTTGTCTGTGGCTCAGTTGAAAGCCTGCCTTCAAAAGGTAAAACTGAGTAAAATAACTTGTTAATCTTTTATTGAAACAATGGCAACTGAATTGGACATATTTGCCGCCCACCGCTACAAAGCATCTTAATATCCATGTAATAGTTATTATTTGAAAAGCACCATAGTCTCCAAAGTTAAATACAAAGGACTCTTATTTTGAAAGTAGACTTAGACTTCCGCTGTCCGGCGCGCGACGTTTGTTTTCAAAGCAGGACAAACTAGCTAGTAGCTTGACTTTTATTAAAAAGTGATTTAGCATTTGACATCGTGTTTATTTGCATTGTCGTCAACGTACATTGAGACATGAAAGTCCACACTACGCCACTATGGTAAGTTAGAGTAACGTTCGCTTCAAAAGTAGTTAACGTTAAATCCCTTTCTGCTGTCTGGTTTCTTCTTGTGAGCGTGTACCATTAGCAGTCGAGTTTAACGCCCATGATGCGCTAGCTGAATGTTTTCTAGACATTGGCAACAACGACAACATCTGCTCGTGCTCTGAATCCTACGTTAGCAAACGTAACTTTGTCGGCAGCTAATGTTAGCTAATGCCAGGCTAATAACCACCCTGTCAGCTGTAGCTAACGTTGACTGACATGTGTTGCTAATGTTTTAACTTGTGTCACTTGGTATTCAAAGGAGTGCCTTACAACAATATTGATGGGTTACTTAGATCGCCTGGAATGGATTTACCTTCTGAAAACATGTTCGATACTTATAAAGAGGAGATCTGGAAAGGTAGGACGTTGTTTTTGTCACATAAAAACATCCACAGCTACGCAAAGAGTGTCCATTATTATTCTTTATAAATGTCCCCGCACAGAGCTGGGACCCTTGGATCCCGACTGGTTTGAGACACTGACGTCTCAAATGTTCACTGAGGATAATGTCTCCGACCAAGAAGACCTGTGTGGGAACCAAGAGGCAAACTTTAAAACACCCTTTGACAAAACTGCAGTTGACAGTCAGCTGTTGTCAACCCCCAAAGTGTTCAGACACAGTCGAGTTGTGTCACCTGAAACTGAGGATGAGCGGTCATTCACTGGTGAGCAGGGTCCTGTTTGAATAAAGTGGGAAAGTGCATATTTATTTAAGTCATTTTTTCTTTTACACACACTCATGCAAAGCAAAACAATGATGTGTATGAATGCTTGGGACATGGTGAATGAATTGTTGTACTACTTGTGTCTGCATTGAGAAGGTTTCTCAACGTTGCATCTTATCATGAATGTGTCTCTGATGAACAACCTAGAAAAAGAAGCTTTGCCATGGACGACAACCCAAAGTCCGTACTTGTTGTCAACAGTGGGGTGAGTACAACCACTCTGACAATTGACTATATTTTAATGTTATGTCTTAAGTTTTTACATATTTATTTCAATGTCATTAGGCACTTCGAGGGGCTTTTCAGTTAATGAAAAATAGTAATAAGTATAGATTTAATGTGTTTTCTTTTGAGAAATTATTCAACTAAAATCTATTCCCATACATTGTTAAATGAGTGTTTATGGTGATCTCGTGGCTGTAATTTTGCCGTAATCACTTGTACTATCAGTGTTACTGGCAGTTTGTGATGTCTATTGTGGTCTTCATAGGGTCCGAGGTGCAAAATATGGAGGTTTCCTTCCTCAGAGTCAGGACCGTTTTGGTGAGCTGTATTTCATTTGTTGAAATGTTGAATCATACCGTGATCATCTCTGGTTAATTTGTCTGCTTTTGTTTTTCTGCACAGATCTGCTTCTTACCCCACAAAAATCCCCAGTAAGTGTATGGACTAACAGATTTTTTCCAGCAAATGTATGTGAACATGCATCAATAGGTAACACTAAGTTTTCCTCTCTTTTTGTTTTTTGTGTGATACAGGTCACCTATGACAAGCAAATATCTGAAAGTCTCGGAGTACAGCTTCATCCTGACATATCGTGGACCAGTTCTCTGAATACCCCGTCAGCTGTTCCATCCACCCTCATTTTGTGTAAGTAATTGACACAACTGGTTTTTGTTGTTGTTGTGGCTATATTTATCTAGATATGTGAATTGTTGAATAATTGTTTCTTCTCAATTTCATAGCTCAAAATAATGACAGTCCCTGTCAAGTGAGGTCTCCTGAGGACAAAAATGTCATTGTGAGTACTTTGTTAGCCCAGACATGCAGGACATATATCTGCTATTTGTAGAATGGAGATATAAAAGGGGCAAAAATGTTTTGCTTTTTCTACGTATATTTCATGATCTGTAATCTACTATGTGGCGTCCAGATCGTGTTCCCAGTTAAACATAATGAAGAAGCAGGACGGTTAATATCGCTTCTGTCCTTTTCCTTTCTCAGATTGTTCGGAAGCTTTTCCCCTCTCTTTCTAATGCATCCAGAGTTGGAAGAGTGTCACCCCAAAAAAATGACGTAACTGCCTTCCCCCAAGGTACAGTGTCTTTTTCTTTACAATTTCCTTATATTTGACACTGCTTTTGTATGCATAATTTCAAACATATTCTCATTTCTTGTCTGTAAGATGCTGTTTCCCCTGAGGCGGGTCAGAATCCAGAGGCCCATGACTCCCCCCCGGGTTCACTGAACCAGCGTGACCTGGATTGGAAACAGACACTACCAGACGCCATCGAGGATGGAGAAATTCGCAGAACCGTTGCGAGCGTTCTCGAGGGAGCTGAAAATGTTCTCTCCATATTTTTCACCAACAGTGGCTCGGCACTGAGGAAAGTCAAAACTGAACGAATCAAAAGAAAGCAAATGACTCCGACCGTGGAAGATGGCTGCATCTCCCCGGACGTCTCATCAACCACCAATGCTGTATCCTGTGAACAGAGAACAGCTGATAAGGAACCCGGTAGACCCCCCTCACGCCCACTGGTGGAAACTGTAGATGGTGGAATCACCCAGTGGTCTCCGTTGAGTTTATCTGATCTCCCTCCTTGTACTCTGCGTACTTCTTTCCACGATAGTGGTCCCGTTGTACAAGTGGAAAACAGTGTTTCACCAGAACAACTGCAGCGTGACTCGGCCTCTGGCCGGCTGGTAGTGAGGACACCTTTGAAACACACAGACACAGGATTTACCAAGAAAAAGAGAAAATTTGTGTACACTGTTGAGACCCCCAAACTGCAAGTTCCAGGGAAAGACAAGCAGTGTCAGAGGATGGAGTCGTCCCCAGCAGCTCCAGATCCTGGTAAGGCAGTCGTAGTGCATGTTAAGTGTAACAATGTTATAATAGATTATGTATCAAAGCCCTCTCTACAAAGTTGTCATTGCTTTCGTCATGTTTTTTCAGGGCGAGAAGTTAATGTGAAGCGGTCGCAAGCCCCAGACGAAGCAGACTTTCACAGCCCTGAGATGAACAAGATGCCAAAACAGGGAAATCTTGTCGACCCGACTCCACGTTCTCCTGTGCGAGCGAAAGTCCACGATCCCGACCTGTCGCAGCTCCGCAACGATTTTGTACAAGATTTCAGTCAAATGTCTGACCACTGTCAACTGAGTAAAGTACAAGGGGATACACCTGGAACCAGCTTCTCTCCATCTGCTTGTCTGTCAGCACTGAAGCGAGCTAAGCAGAAAACGACGCATGCAAACCCTCGCCGTGACCTCGATGACAGAAGACCAGTTTCTGACGCTCATGGGAGTCCGGCATCATTTGTCCTTCCCAGCTCGGAGATCAGTGGTCTGCAGTGGGCCGATAAAACAGGGACCCCTCCCTCTAGAATCATAGTGAACGGAAAAGCCCATTCTGATGATATTTTACAAGCAGCGGAAACGGATGCCATGCAGTCAGTCGGGGAGAGTCAGTCACTGGGTCCGGGCAGACAGCGGGAGCTGCACATAGAGAGCACATCAGCACGACGACCCAGCACTGCGAAAGAAGCTGTTGAAGGCGATAATTCCGACTCACGTAACGGTCAAGCTCGTGGCAATCTGCCAGAGAAAACCGCTGCTCTTCTTTCCGTCCATCCGTCTGGATTCCAAACCGCTTCAAATAGGAGTATACGCATCACTCCATCCAACCTGGAAAGAGCCAAACGTCTCTTTGAAGAGGCCGAAGGGGAAGGAACTTCCAGGGACCAGCCCGTCAAATGTGCCCGAGACTCTAAAGATGAAATGAGCGCGAGACCCGAGTCGATGAAAAATCCAACGACTAAGTCAAACCAGCCACTTTCTTCGGGTGAAGCAAATAAGGACACCGGGTGCCAGTTGACCGCTTCACAGAAGGCTGACGTGACGGAGCTGTGCACTCTCCTGGAACAAGCAGACACCCAGTTTGAATTCACCCAGTTTAAAACTGAAAAGCCCGAAACAAACTGTCAGGCCGATGCCACCTCTCCACTAGAAGTTGACAACGAGCTCGACCCGGCCTTTCTCTCCGGTATAGATTTTGATGACAGTTTTAGTTCAGAAGTTGAAAAGCACCTCACAGTGGCTGTGGTGCCTGACGACGAAATGATCTCCGTTTCAGATGGTAAAACAAACCGCGAGACATCTGAGGTGACGAGTAATTCCACTGGTTTGTTGCTATCAAACACAATGAAAAAAGGAAACCATCCTTTTCCTGAGGAGGCGTCTACCTCTTCAAAGCACTTCTCCGCAGGCGGCTGTAGGGTTACGTCAGCTGAAGCCAAACACCGGGACGGAGCTGGTGAAAGGAGCCAGCTGCAGAACGAGAGTCCTTTAATGCCTGCTGCGGGATTTAAGACGGCAGGAGGAAATGTTTTGAGACTTTCTAAAGAGTCTCTGACCAGAGCTCGAGCTCTGTTTGCCGATTTTGAGGGGCATCCTGTGGCGAGTCAAACATCACCGGACAAGCAAAGCAGCGTGCATCAACCCACCGGTAACCTTCTGCATCGTAGAGCGGACGCTTCTGCGTTCACGGACTGTGGTCATGGCACTGAGGGGGGGGTGAGGTGCTCTCTTTCCAACACGGAGGGCTCTCTCTGTTCAGATGAACAAGTCGCAGGCATCAGAGATGATCATTCTGCAAAACCTTTGGCGAACAGCAAGATGGACGCAACAACGCGTCAAAGCGGCTTCCAGGCGGCCCGTGGGAAAGAGACTTCCCTCTCAGCAAAGGCAAAGCGAGGGGCTCATGCTCCCTTCGGAGACTGCGACGCTACCGACCGCAACGCCGGCTCGCCGGTGAAACGCGTGAAAAGCACTGGAGGCTCACACGTCCCTCATGAGGAAACCCGTCCAAAAGGTGAAGTTCAAGAGCCAATTAGTGAGTTTGAAAACATGAATGCTGGACCGGCTGAGAGCCATTCAGTGGTTGTACAACGTAACGAGGAGATGGACAATCTGGGTTGTACGAAGACACTGGTTTTAACAAATGCGGCTTCTCTCCGAGGAAACACCTGCCGTCAGCTTGAAGTTTCATCGCCCAAAAGTGGGGGGTTTCAGACAGCCAGCGGCAAAGCAGTAGCCGTTTCATCTGCAGCCCTAAAGAAAGCCAAATCTCTGTTAAGCGAATGTGTTGAAGTGGAGGACAAAGTCTTTGTGAAGCCAACCCACTCCAAGATGCCACTTCCTGGTCTGACGCCCCGGAATAGTGGATTTCTTGCAGCCAGCGGGAAGCAAGTGGCCTTTTCCTCTGAGGCCCTGCAGAAGGCCAGAGCTCTCTTCAGCGACATCACTTCCACTGCAGAGATCCCAGCTGCTTCAGAGGCAAAGAACGCTAACGAGGCGCGAGCCGAAAATACCGAGCAAACACATTGTGCTTTTACAGATACAGGCAGCGCAAAAGTCCACGTGTCACCGAGATCCCCGCTGGAAGCAAAACACCTTTTGACAGAATTCGATGGTTCTATTTCCGCCAGCGCTATGCAAGAAGCGGATGCTTTCTTCAAGGACTGTGGCGTGATGGATCGTGACGTTGGCCCGTCAGGAGAACAAGAGCAAAGGAAGGCACCGCTGTGCGGAAGGGGCGGCGAGAAGAAAGACGTTACAAAACGTAAAGAAGATCAGAGGTTGGAAATCAACATTTCTGTAGATCTTGGAAGCGCACACGCTGCGTTTGAAAAGGTGAACATGGGACTAGTTGAAAAGCATGAAAAGATGCTACATCCTGGCGACGGGGAGAACCACAGTGGCGCTTTTGGGAATACGTTCGATTTTTCCAACATTGTTGCTCTACATGCAAACTCTTCTTTGAGGGCAAAGAGCCTTTCTCCACTGGTGTGCACAGCATCAATGAACAGGAGTTCCTCCGGCATGAAGGAGTTGAGCAAAGGTGGTGGATTCTGTACAGCCAGCGGGAAAAACGTCTCCGTGTCTGATGACGCAATGACAAAAGCGAGGTCTCTTTTGAATGAAAATGCTACATTCGAGGACACTGGCAAACAACTGAAGCCAAAAGAAAACACTATTCCACCACAGAAGGGGGGGTTTCAGACAGCCAGCGGCAAAGCAGTAGCCGTTTCATCTGCAGCCCTAAAGAAAGCCAAATCTCTGCTAAGCGAATGTGTTGAAGTGGAGGACAAAGTCTTTGTGAAGCAAATCCACTCCAAGATGCCACTTCCTGGTCTGACGCCCCGGAATAGTGGATTTCTTGCAGCCAGCGGGAAGCAAGTGGCCTTTTCCTCTGAGGCCCTGCAGAAGGCCAGAGCTCTCTTCAGCGACATCACTTCCACTGCAGAGAGCACAGCTGCTTCAGGGGCAAAGAACGCTGACGAGGCGCGAGCCGAAAATACCGAGCAAACACATTGTGCTTTTACAGATACAGGCAGCGCAAAAGTCCACGTGTCACCAAGATCCACTCTGGAAGCAAAGAAAGCATTGACAGATTTTGCTGGTGTTGAATGTCATAATTCAAACTCATTAAGCCCACATTCCCTTAAATCAGATCTATCCAAAGTGAAAGGTGTGAAAATAACTTGTATTCCCTCCACATCCAGGGACCCGTGTAGTGCCCCTGAATCCTCTATGCAAAAAAAAGACACTGACGATGAAAAAAAAAGTCATCCAAATCAAAGTGTCCCTCGTTGCATTTTTATCAAAGAGCAGGAACATTCATTTAGTGCCAGAGACGGTAAAATGACCCCACCAGCATTGGGCAAGCTTCAGGGCGGCGCTGCAGAGGATGTGTTGGACTGCGAAATAAAACCGGCAAGCAGCAGGGAGAGATCTGAGGTGAAAAGGCCACAGGTGTCTTCAGTTGTTAAGTTTCAGTCTCTTAACCTAAGTGGGTGCACTGAAACCCAGCAGAAGCTGTTTGCCCAGGAAGCCCTGGACTGCACTGAAGCTTTGTTAGAGGACGAAAGTCTGTTTGGCCAAAGTCTCTCAATGACTTTAGAAAACGCACCACTGCAAGAAAACCCCAAATCCAGTTTCAGATCTGCAGAGCAACGACGGAGGCCGGAGAAAAGGTCAATAGAGGAACCGGAGATGCCTGGTAAGTGTTTAATACTCCTTTTAAGTGGTATGACACCGCACAGATTTTCTCAAAATTGTATCTAATCTGAATTATTTAGCGAATAATTATTTCACTGCGATCATCTGTGGACACTTTAATTCAAATAAATATTCCCACATTTCGAATAAACCATCATTTTGAAAGGAGGGATGAGGCTTGTGTGTTAAGATGTGACGCTCTTTGTCACAAGCTCAACTGTTGACCCTTAATCCTTTCCTGACTGTTATGAAATATTCCAGGTCAGCCTCCCCTGAAAAGACGATTACTGGAAGAATTTGACAGAACTGCTGCCGGTCCAAGTTCAACACTCCAGCCCGAAAAAAGTTGTCCAAATGGTAAAAAATGCAAAAGAAAATGCGTATTTGTTTGGTGACATCACTGATCTGTAATTGTTTCCTATTGAAGGTGTAATAAAAGACAGACGGATTTTCAAGTACAACGTCTCTCTCCATCCAAACATCACGAGGCCACGCACGTAAGTGGCCTGCGATTTCTTGGCCATGTTTTCCAGCGGCTCACACGGTTTTCAGCTCTTCGACATGTGACCCTTTGTGTTGCAGCAGTGGGAAAAACAATGTGGAAACCAGTTGGCAAAATACAACCCCGATGCAGCACTCCACCCCGGGAGAAAGCAGAGCGGCACATTCCAAGAAGCCAGCGTTTGTTCCTCCTTTCCTGGCAAATGCAAAGACGGAGAGATGCAACAACGCAATGCTGAAGGACAACACGAGAACACCTTCCGCATTTGTTCCTCCTTTCAAAAAACAGAGAGCTGTTGTCCAAGAGAGCTCCTTCAGACCACTGGTGGAAGAGAAGGAGGATAAGCATCATCGTCTTTTCAACAGCAACACTTGCATAGCGGCCACTAAAAAAAAACAATGCACTACAGAATTAGCTGGCAGCAAAAGCGAAGAAGACAGTGAAACCGTGGCCTCCGCTGACAATAAGAATGATGAAAAGGTCATTAATTCAAACCTCCCCATTGGCTGTGGATCAGAGGGTACTTCTGCAAAGACATCACTTGGGGAGGACTTGTTGTCCAGATGCCAAGGTGCAGTAAATGTTTTGGACCAAATCATACATGTAAAGAACTCTGCATACAGTAGCTAGACTAATGACGCGTTAATGGTCTTACAGACACATTTCAGAATCTTCCCAATGTTGAGCTGGCGCAAGATATGCAAGACATGAGGATCAGGAAAAAGAAGCGGCAGACCATCCGACCTTTGCCGGGAAGTTTGTTTCTCACCAAAACCTCCGGAGTGACAAGGATACCGTTAAAGGCTGCAGTCCATGGAAGGCCTCCTGCAAGATACACTCCGCAACAGGCAAGGCCCTGAGCCGCCATGTCGGTAGATTCTGTCGTGGAACGAGGTGACTGTCACGTATAAAGCTTGTTTTTCTTCTTCAGCTCTATAGACATGGAGTTCATCAGCATGTGTGTGAGATCTCCAGTGAGACCGCCGAATCTTTTCGCTTCAATTTGAAGCAGTTCATCAAACGGGAAGCTTTGCTAGACGGAGGAGGTGTTCAGCTCGCTGACGGAGGATGGCTGATCCCCAGCAAAGACGGGACCGCAGGGAAAGAAGAGTTTTATAGGTATTGTTGGCTTTTGGTTGACTTTAAATCCGGCTCTGTAATGTCACGCCTAGTTTTTCTGAAACGAGGTGTGATTTGCACTGAATAGCATCCTTTATCCACGCTGCCCACAGAGCTCTATGTGACACTCCGGGCGTGGATCCCAAACTGATCAGTGACGGTTGGGTGGACAATCACTACCGATGGGTGGTGTGGAAGCAGGCGTCCATGGAAAGATCCTTTCCAGAAACGATGGGCGGCCTCTGTCTCACCCCCGAGCAGGTTCTCCTGCAGCTAAAGTACAGGTAGGTTCATGTGTTCCTGTAAGTTGAAGTTCGTTTTAACGAGCTACCCGCACAATGAATGCAAATCGTTTACAATTTATTTTCTGTTTTGTTCGTACACACAAGTTCATCAAACAATTCAATGTAATCTCCATTCCCTTTTTGTCAGGTATGACGTTGAGGTGGACCACAGCCGCCGGCCGGCTCTGAGGAGGATCACGGAAAGGGACGACACAGCCGCCAAAACCCTGGTCCTGTGCGTCTGCGGGGTCGTCTCCAGAGTTCAGTCCCCCAACAGACAGAGTTTCGACGACTCAAAGACGCCACGAGGTGCCGACGCCGGCGGAGGGAATCCATCGGCAGTTGTCTGGCTGACGGACGGATGGTATGCCATTAGAGCCCAGCTGGATGAACCCCTGACCGCCATGCTTCGTAACGGCAGAGTCGCCGTCGGCAGCAAACTGATCGTCCACGGGGCTCAGCTGGTGGGATCGCAGGAAGCATGCTCCCCTCTGGAGGCACCTGAAGCTCTCATGTTAAAGGTACTTTCAGGAGCAGCCGAGCACAAGTCATTGTATCTTTCAACCAGGCGATCGTGTAAATTGTTTATTGTGTTTGTTTCAGATCTGCGCCAACAGCAGCAGACCCGTTCGATGGGATGCGAAACTGGGGTTCCACAAGGATCCGAGGCCCTTCCTGCTTCCGCTCTCTTGTTTGTACAGCAGTGGAGGACAAGTGGGATGTGTGGACATGATCGTACTGAGAAGCTACCCTATCCAGGTGGGATTAGGCCCGTGTCCACATATTGTTACTGTACATCATGTACCCCCCCCCCGCTTTGACTGTGTTCTTGTCACGCCGTGCAGTGGATGGAGAGGAAACCGGAAGGAGGCGTTGTCTTCCGATCGGTTCGCGCCGAAGAGAAAGAGGCGAAGCGATTCAACGGCCTCAAACAAAAGGCTATGGAGATCCTATTCGCAAAGATTCAAGATGAATTTGAAAAGGAGGACAAAGGTAGGACTTGTGATTTCACCACGTTGGGTGCAGGTTGAAAAGGAGTCCGTTTTAACACAACTTTCATCTTTAGGTAATGACAAACCTCAACGCAGGAGGCAGGCGATCAGTCGTCAGGCTATTGCAGGTCTTCAAGCTGGAGAGGAGCTCTGTGAAGCCGTGGGGGAAGACCCAGCTCACCTCGAGGTGAGAAGAGATCCACTCAACAAATCGCTCCCTTAATAACGCTTGTGAGCGGAGCTTTAATCACTGCTCCAACTCCCATGTGCAAGGCTCTCCTGAGTGAGCAGCAGGTGGAGACCCTGAACACGTACAGGCGTTGTGTGATGGAGAAGAAGCAGGCGCAGCTGCACGATCGCTTCCAACGAGCTCTAGAAAGTGCAGAGGCCAGCGAAGGGAGCTGTCCCAAGCGAGAGGTCACACCTGTGTGGAGGCTCGGTGTCGCTGACTCCAGGGACCAACGCGGCAGGGGTCTGTTTTTTCTTTTCTTTGTTTTAGATGTGCTGTGGTCATACGTAGTATACAAAACATTGTGTTTTCAAAATACTGGTTTAACGTTGTTGTTGTTGTTTTTTAGTTTACCAGCTGAACCTTTGGCGACCCTCCTCGGATCTCCAGGCTTTACTGAAGGAAGGCCGTCGATACAAAGTCTATAATCTCACCACTTCCGATGGAAAGAAACACAACGGCAGCTCAAATGTTCAGCTGACTGGGACAAAGAAAACCCAGTTTCAGGACCTTCAGGTAACGTAGAAACCAGCTCTCCTGACTCTGTGTCCATGTGGATACATTAATTATAGACTCGGACAGATGATGGAAATCATTTAAATGATGTAATACTTCTACATCATCCAGGCTTCTCGGGAATGGTTATCAACCCGTTTTCAACCGAGGGTCTCTGCCTGCTTTGTGGACCTTCAAAACCCAGAATTCCAGTCGCTGTGTGGAGAAGTTGATCTCACAGGATTTGTGATCCAAATAGTGGATGGACAGGGTAGGTTAACTTCTTTTTCCTCTGCCCAGTTTCTGCCATAACTGCTGTTCATGGTTTCTTAAATACTTGCTCTTGATCACAGGTTTCTCTCCTGCATTTTATTTGGCCGATGGGGAACTCAACTTTGTCAAAGTTCGCTGTTTCAGCAGCTTTGCTCAGTCCGGCTTGGAGGATTTGGTAAAACCACGTGTGCTGTTGTCTCTGAGCAACCTGCAGCTGAGAGGCCAGTCAGCATCGCCCACTCCGGTTGTGTACGCCGGGGATCTGACCGTCTTCTCAGCAAACCCCAAGGACGCTCACCTGCAGGAATCACTCAGCCAAAACAAAAACCTACGTCAGGTACGGCAGTGAAATCCCAAACCTGTAAAGCAGCTGTTTTTACCATTCAGTCTTAAGATGACTCTGTCAAAACTGCATCAGCTTTAATTCCGTCTAGGAAAGGATGCCGCTTCTGGTGGGAATAGCAATGTTGTTTGTTATGCAATGTTAATTTACTCCACCTCCTCGGTTTGGATACAATAAAATAGTAAAACGACATAACCTTTTACTTTTGTCTTGTGTTTTCAGAGTCAGGAAAACTTCTTTTTAATTGCTGAAGAGACACTTTCACGTTTAGTCCAATCTGACGGGCGGAGGCCCCTCTCTTCTCCGGCGCTGCACACACGAACCCCAGCGCTTGCTACGTCCATGATACAAGACACAACAGCAAGTGTGAGTGAATGTACTTCCTGTTCTATTCATCTGCTCTCGTGACCACTTGATATAGATTTAAAAACAAAGAATGTGTCCTTCTTATGCAGGGGGCTTCTCAGCAGCTTGTCAGAAGCCGCGGTACCTTCACACCCGTCAGCAGGAAACCTCCCGCAGCAAACTGTTCAACAGAGAAAGACGCCGGCAGCGTGAAGCGGAGGAGAGCTTTGAACTACCTGTCTCACATACCGTCTCCTCCGCCACTCCTCAATCTGGGCTCGGTGGCTTCCCCATGTGTAAATAAGACATTCAACCCCCCTCGCAGGTCCGGGACACCAAGCACTTTAAAAACTGTACAGACTCCAGCTCACAAAGCTCAAAAAGTCGATTCACTGGTGGAGGATGAATGGGTGAACGACGAGGAACTGGCCATGATCGATACTCAGGCGTTGCGGGTTGGTGATTTACTGCAGGTACATAAGACTGTATGATGGCGAGCACACTTCAACTTTTATAGAACTGTACAAATCAACAAATGTAAAGGCTGCATTTGGGATATATTTTGTGGTTGTCGTTTTCCCACTGAACAAATTAAAAAGGTGAAATCCCTTCAGGTTGGTAAAATCATGTTGTCGCTTTAAACGGATTTCATGCTTCTCTTATAATCTCTGTATAATTTTTCTTCTAGTCGACCATGAAGTTCATCAAAGTGAACTACAACTTAGATTTGCATTCCTGCAAATGATGTATATGATCCCCTCTAAAAATGTTTATGTATTCTGAACAGCAAAGTGCAATTTTTAACAAACTAAGGCTCATGGTTGTTATTTAAAGACAAATAAGTACTACTTTATAAGTACGGTAAATGATAGAAAACTTACATTTTCTTCTGTAATGTACATAAGACTGTTACCATTACTAAAGGGCAGGGGTGTTCAACTTCAATGTAAAGAGGTCTGGTTAGAGAAGATTTCTAGACGCAAAGGTCGAAAGATCATAATGTGATTATTTAGTGTGATTAACTAGAGGGATAGTTGTATCAACATCTACATGTAATCAATACACGACTAACCAATCCAATGAATTCAGTAAGACATATTTGACTTTTCTAATATCCAAGCCCACTTCCAGTAGTATGGGTTTTCTTTCCAAAATAAAAATAACCTCTTGTTTATATGTTGAATACAATCAAACGTTAGACCTATTGTGTCCCCCTGCTGGGGGCGCTGTCGCTCGCATGGCCAATCGGAGCTGAGCAGCCGGGTCACGCTTTCGATCCCAGGAAGAAGAAGAAAAAACGTCACTTCCGTAAACACTGGCACCTGGCATGTGGAACTTGTGTGCCGTTTGATTTTCGTTAATGTCGCTTTTTCCATCATTTGTGCGTCTCGAAGATATACGGTGAGTGATGAATAGGGACATATACTGTATAATGAATATCAACGTAGCACACATCTTACCGTAAAAGAGTTGTGTTTTTCGCCGTCTTCCGTGTAGCTCGTGAGGTCACATTAGCTAACCTCAATGTTTTCGTTAGTTTCATTTTCAGCCAAATTGCACTGACGTAGCTTAGCTAACTTTACTTATTTAACTTCAAGCTACACACGTTTACTCAATCCTAAAAAGTGTTAAATTCATCCCTGACCATGCGTGTTGTTGTCCATCGCAGATGTCTCACACCGGATCCTCTTCCACGACCTCTGGCATTGAAAACCATCCCGTGAGTTTGAGAGGAAGAACAACGAATGGAACAAACGACTCTGCTGACAAAGCCGCTAAATTAAAGCGTAATGTCTCCAGCAGCCCAGACAGAGCTGTGAGGGAGCGCGCGTTAAAGCAGGTAGGGCTCACCAGCACCTCCTTCATCGGGCCGGCGTTTCCTCCTTCAAAGCCTTCAAAGTCAACCAAGCGCAAGTCTGATTTTGAAAACACACTGAGTGAGTTTTACAAAGAGCTTGAGACGATTGACGCACCTGATGGTGCTAACGATCACTCTGGGAAAATAAACGCAGGTTTTGTTAAAGCACCCACACCTTCAAAAACATCTTCAGGCAGACAAATCCGCAAGGGAAGCGATGAAGTAGTTTTTAACCCAAACAACCGCGCAGGTCCAGAGGGCTACCAAGAGGGCCGTGGGCAGAAACAGCCATCCTGGTCACACTGGTATCAAAATGAGCCATACTACCCGAGAAGACCGAGGCCACCCGGTCCATCCCAAAGTCCGTGGCACCATCCCCAAACACTGAACCAACCACCAAACCCACGCTTTCATAGACCCCCATTCCATCGCCCGCCACCTCCAGCTGCGTTCCCAAATCCACAAGGCCCACCATCGACTGCAAATCACCACTGGAGCGGTTCAGGCCCGACTAACCAGTACCAAGAGGAGTCGCATTTTCCAACGTTTTCTTGCTTTCCACCTCCAAATGTGAGCGGTCACCCCCCTCGGGGCTTTTATGGAGATTCTCCACACCACTTTGACAGCGACGAGTGGGCTTGTGGCTATCAAATGCACGCCAATAATGGATGGTCTAGAGGAAGAGAAGAACAATCCTCTCACGGGGTAGAAGATTATGACCGATCCCAGAGATACGACTCCGAAAACGACCCGTGGGATAATCATTGCCCGCCTCCCACCAACACGAACGCATTCCATTCTTCCCCGGTGCTGATCTTGATGAGGGGATTACCAGGATCTGGGAAATCAACACTGGCCAGGTGAGTCTTTGTGTAATCATGTCTCAGAAATAAACCATTGTCAGGTTAAAGAAGTCTAAAACTCCCAACTCTAAACTTAAAGTATAATTTCCAATGCACACTTTATTTTCTTTGTCAGGGAGCGGCTCGCCGAGAGTCCCGATGGGTTGATACTGAGCACAGACGACTACTTTGCTTTCAGAGATGGGTACCGCTATGAACCAGGCCTTCTCGGTGCAGCACATGAGTGGAACCAGAACAGAGGTATCGTCTCCTTAAAGGCTCTGAAGTCTTTGATATTATAAAAGTTATTCCAGGAAGGTGTTTGTGTCTAATTTCCATCAGGGGAGACTAACGTGTTCCCTCCACAGTGAGAGAAATTCCAGAATTATATGAAGAGTAGTAATGTTGGACAGAAATGCTAGTTCAGTGCCTCTGCCTGTTTGGAAAACGTCATCCCCACCAAGTCCCACATAGGCCCCTTTTCAGCTAAAACAGCAGATGCATTATGAGAGAATCAAGTTATCTTCAATATTTCACATGACCAAATGACCACAAATATCCCAGGAACTTGTGAAGTATAACATAGATTTATATTTTTTGGTTAACGATCAAGGTTGTTGTGAACTCCTAAAGCATGTTTTGCCCATAACTGAATAAAACCAATTCCAGTTAGCACAATTTCACACTTGAAAAAGTCTAAAAGTCTGAAATTATGAAGTTCTGATGGACGTTATAAACTGCAACTCATCAAAGGCATCCAACAACAACGCAATAATTGAAGTTCTCCCAATGCAAAGCATTTACAAAGTGTCACTCGCTATTTTGTTTACATCTGCTTCTTCATTTTATCAAGCTTGGTGGCACTTTGCTCCCTCTAGCTCGATAATAAGTGTGTGCGTGTATGAGAAGTGTCTCCCGATGTGTGTGTGTGTGTGTGTGTGTGTGTGTGTGTGTGTGTGTGTGTGTGTGTGTGTGTGTGTCAACTAACGCATTTTTTAAACGCCCTGCAATCTCAGCTCGTCTTGAGGTGGATGACTGATGCGAGTTGATGGTGACTGTTTTTTTTTTTTTCTCTTTAATTCTCTTTCAGCTAAAGATGCTATGCGTGATGGCCGGTCTCCCATAATTATTGACAATACAAACGTCCAAGCTTGGGAAATGAAGCCATATGTCAAAATGGTGAGTATGGGATTTTAAACATAATTGTGTGATTGATTATTGATTACTACACCACCTTTATAGATCCTAATTAGATTTCCTATCATTCTAACAGGCCGTGGAGAGTGGATACAAAGTGGACTTTTGTGAACCTGAAACCAGCTGGAAGTTTGATTTTTACGAGCTGGAGAGGTGCGAGTACAATTCATATGTTCTGGCATCAACATTTAATATATGAATACTAACATTGCCACACTGCACTGTTTTCCTGCAGGAGGAACAAGCACGGCGTTCCACAGGAGAAGATCGCACAGATGATGGATCGCTTCTCCTTTCCAATATCTGTAGACATCGTCATGAGTTCACAGGAGCCGGTTCACGTGAACCAGAGACTTCAACCAGAGCAGCCACCGATGTTGAGGAACAACAGAGAATTCCTTTAGTTATTCACAGGAACCAGCTACATAATTCGCCTCAAAGACCCAATCCTTTGTAACGAAGTTAATGTTGTTGGCTACCGTTTCTATGTGATTTTTTTTATCTGTTTATTGAATATTTTAAATTTATGTAAAAGAAGAAAAAAAAATCTATTTTTCTGAATACTTTTTCTTAATTAAACTTTCACATTTAAATCTACTTTAACTACTACTACTCTTTTTTTCTTTTCTTTTTTTATCTAACGATTTTTAATTCAGATTTTCCAATTTGCAGAATGTTTGTTTCAAACAAAAGACATCATTATGGAAAACTCCAAAAAAAGGTTGTTTTCATCTACCTCAAAATCAGCAAAAAACTGCTACAAGGCGAAGAGTGTTGTTGAAAGACCAATTTCAATTCCCGTCCCAAGAAGAGCCAAATATCTTATTTCCTGTGACAAACTGTATGTTGTGATTGGGAGTTCTTCCACGTGAGTAATAAGCATCTATATTTATATATGTTGAAAGTTTCTTTCATAACTGGATTTGGATCTAGTGTAGAATCGCCTGAAACAAGGAAAGGTTCTCACATTTTTGCCATCTGCAACTTCACCGCTAGATGCCACTAAACCCTTCACACTGGTCCTTTGAAACGAAAGCCAGGTGCCCCTATGATCACAGAATAGACTTTGCCCATGTGAGGTTCCAAATGTGTTTTCAATGTAAATGATGACGGACAAAATGCAGCCGTCTGTACAAACGTTTATCGGAAGCTTATTTGAAGCTGTCTTTCAGACAATTCCAGTCAATATGTTCCAAAGTTATGATAATTCAGTGTCATATTCCCTCCCTGAAAGTCACTGACAATGATAAACCTACCGAAAGTACCGAAAAGATGAGCTGATCAAACACACGGGGCGCACATTCAAATAGGACCCCCTTGGTTTCGTGCCCTCACTTTGCTTCTGTGGTATTTCTCTGAATTCAACTGTCTCCTCTTGACACTTTCATCTTCACAGCTGTGCTTTTTTTTTTTTTTTTTACCTTTTATGACTTTTTGTTTTGAAAGTGTTTCACTCGCACAGACGCTGTGTTTATTCTGAGGAGCTTGCATTTGTAATGACAATGAAAGTAGAGTTTGGTGACCTTAACTATTGGCAGCCATTACCTTTGTTGTTTGAAGGTTGGCTGCACCACGCAAGTGCTTTTGTCTTCAGTTTCCTGTTTTTTCTCCGGAGGGTTGTTTACACGGCGATGACCTTGATGTACAAAATCTGGTGCTAATGTGCAAGACAACTTTTAGTGGATAAGGAAATGATGTGAATGAAATTTTGTTTTTTTGGGGGGGCATTTTACCATAACTGAATAGAATCTCAAAAGGAAAAATCCAATCAGTGTGCAAAAGGTTTTAGTGCATATTCTGCTAAATATTATGGACGGTCAAATTATAAAGAGAGCGATGCAGGAAGACCAGAGTGGGATTTCCAAATACATTTTATTACAGTAGATAAAAGCGGATGAGGCCTTGGTCATTAATATGAGGTACCTGTGCCTGTAGATAAAAAGGCTAAACTGTTTAGTTAGATCTCCCTCAGATTGCTGTGACCTTGTCTGAGAGAAGCAATACGGAGGCTGTTTTAAAGGAGCTGTCCACTGGGTTTACCGTCACTCATGTGGATGGCAGTGCCTTACTTTCTCCATTTTTAGTCATTCACATGATCGCTGAGTGGTGCTGATGGATCTCTGTACCAGCCTCGGAACAAAAAAAGTGGTCCATTAGTAAGCGAGGTGTATTATGGGACGTTGGCTATAATTTGAACATTGGAACAGATGCTGTTTTCAACATCTCTCCCTGTTCGTCGGCCCACTGTGTGGGAGTGTGTTTTCAGGCTACTTCCTATGTGCCAATGTGTGTAAATGTAATGAGAGGCGGCCTGCATCCGTAATAGAGCCTGTGTGCTCTGAATGGTAATGATGTGAGGGAGATGTGATGAGCGCTTTGTGCTCACTGAATGCCAGGAATGGGCCACAATTAAGTCACCATTAAACCTCCTAGAGACGGAAAAAGGGAAGATGAAATAAGAGCAGACGCAGGGAGGTTAACAAAAACTGGATAGGACAGGCTAATGTGGGCTAATTACTAACCTACCAATGCAAAATGATTAACTCAATACCTATTATTTTCTCATTCATTATATTTGATTATTAGGGCATTATTTCCTTTGTCTTAAAAGAATCCAGTACACTGACACTGTAGTTCATCTTGTTTATGCTTGGTGCCAAGGAGAGGAAATGGTCTCTACTTTGCTTCAATCAATACATTATCAAAAATGCAGATGTGTATAGTGGATCTCTTTGCCAGCGTGTGAATCACAATTTCAAGTAGATTGTTGTCTTCAAATTGAACTTATGGTTTCCTCCCTGCTCCGCCCTTTCAGTTGCAAACAGGGATTTAATAAAGGTTAAAGGGCATTGAGATTGTGGGAATGATACATACATCTAAATAAGAAAAAAAAGATTACATTTGTCAATAACAATGTTTTCGTTTACAGATAAATGCATGAACATGAGCCATTTCCTAGATATTGGAGTAACAAAGCACGTTTGTTATTGTGGTTGTCACGTGACTCTGACAACCAACCACACTCGTGTTCGCCACCCGCATATAGCGTACTATTCACCACCGACCAATCATCTGGCTCAAATCAACCACAATATACGATGACGCTAAGCTTCATATCCTTCAAAATAAAAGCATATGTTTTTGACACTTTTGGGAAAACTAACTAGTAGTGAACAGTTGTATAGAACGTGTAGGGTTTTTTAGTATATTACAAACATATTTACATATTACAAAAATATTTAGTATAAACAAACATATATATACATTTACACAGTTATTGCCAATAACGGAAATAATCAAATATTTTGATCACAACAGAGAAAGCCTTTGTATTTCCTGTGGTGTCCGAGTACCTTTCATTAAAAAATTATTACAAAACAATTGCACAGTGCGGTCTGTCATTACATTACAAGAATGTTTGCAAATTGTCTTCACTGTATGATCTATACTTTGTGAGGGGTAAAGGTGAATGTGAACAATGAACAATCATAATCATCCAACATTTGTTTCGCTTTCATCAGATAATGTATTTATTGGCATGCTCCCATGAGGTGGTGCTTTGAATTGAAGGGTAAAATATGCCTCCAAAATTCAGGGCCAATATTTATGCTCCATGGTAAAACCATTCTTTCAGGCAGAAGCTCTCACCGATGATGCTTTAATTTTGAAAAACCCCATCGGAAGTCTCGCTGTCCTTCCTCTTCACCTTGACAGGTGAGAGGGGCTCGACTTGCTGTGGACCTGATACCGTCCGGCGGACAGCGCGCTGCGGGCGGCAGGTGCTTCTCTCCGCTCCACGTTGTCCCCTTCCCGGCATGTCGGCGATAACGTGCTCGGGGCCGCCGGGTCGAGCGGCCGCCTCCGGTCCGTGTGGCAGAACCGTCATCTAGAATCACAGGAGTGGATTTTATCTCCCGCGACACGTGGAAGAGGCGGAGAATCCCGCGGCGGGTCGAGCTGCTCGTTGTCCGGTAAGAGGCTTTGCGTGTCTCGGTCGGTCGGAAGGAGGCAGTTGGAGGACGTGCCAATGTTTACTTGGGTTGTTGCGGAACGGGACGTGGGCTACATCTGTATACATGTATGTATTAATCTGTACACGCAAGTTTGAAGTAGCCCGTGTGAAGGGCAAGTCGGATATCCATCCTTACATTCAAATGCACGCGACTGTATTTTGGAAAACCTTTCCAAGCTCAAACAATTTAGATAACAAATATATTATTGTGATTAAATCGACCTCTCTCCAAAGATTATGCCCTCTACAGCAGTGGTATTTAACGTGGGATTTAAAAGAGATATATTCAAAATGATCATCCATTTAAATCCTTAAACATTTCTTTTTTTATAAAATAGAAGAAGAGTGTAAAAATAAGTTTATATCTACCAGACTATTTCATTTCATTATCACACCAGAGTCAGCATTGCCTCTTTTTCTCAACCAAAAATGCTCAAAAATATTTCACATGGGGTACATCCCTGAAAAAGGGTCGTGCCTCCATACCCCACATGTACTATATTGGTCTCATCTATTGCAGCGTAAGAACAATGTGCTGACGGCACAAAGCAAGTCTATGTTTAGAAGCCGACCTCTCCCAGCACCGAGTCATTATCTGCTGGCACACTTGATGGGTAAACCTGTTCTCTGTGCTCCCTCCTCATGCAGCGGTTAGTGTCAGCTGGCTGCATGACTGTGCAGCCTCCTCACCCCCCCCCCCCCCCTGTCTGTAACAACACAATCTCATCAGCGCACTGCCGAGGTCGAACCTCAGGATTTCAGTTATCCAGGAACAACTTTAAAGGCCAGCCCGCATGCTCATAATGTGAACTTCACAGGGATGCTAAATTCAGAAAAGCAAAGTCTGTGAACGTTGGCAGACCTTCTCTCCGTTTTGAGTGAAAGTCCTCTCGGACAAATCTGTGTGCCGGGGCTCTGTCCTCTTGGATTAATTTTAGTTCCCATTGGCAGAAGCAGCGCTCTGAGCCTCCCCAGCTGCCAGTTACATAATAACAGGCGAGGACTGCAACCGTTTAACGGAGCAGGCGGGAGGGGGCTTATAAGGGGCTACGGCGAAATGGAGAGCTGACAACACCGTAGGAGGCCACGTTTGCAGCGTTACATAAGAGATGTTTTCCTCCCTCCGCTCTGCCGGTAGGATGCAGATGATGGTGTTCCAGAAATAGGCCTGAGTGAAGGACAGGGGGGATGCTGCACACACTGGATTCACCGACGGAGGCGTCCAGCTGGTAACGCGCGGTGGGAGTACGGGCCTGGCTGTCTGTAGAGAAAGAAACATTTCCACGTAGCACCGGCTGGCCTTTGTTACTTATATCCTGCCGTTAATGTTGCCGGTAATGTTCATTGTGTCGAGCGGTGCGCACGTGGGGTCGCCAGACAATATTACATTCAAGCACTTATAAGTCTATTATATTTTGTGAAAGGTTAAGGGGGGGGAGGTTGGTAAATTCGTAATAGCTTTCCTTCTGGATAACTTCTTCAGAGGAGTGCGCCGAACGTCTGTTTTTTGATTTGTTGTTGAGAATTTCTTAAAAGGCAGACATGCTAGAAACGGAGGTAGATGTCCATTGGAAGGAAAGCCCAAATGTCCCCTTTGTGCTGCTGTCGACAACCTCCATCCATCATGTGGGATTCAAAAATGAGAAGTGACCACAGAAAATCACCAGCCATAAAAAAAGCAACTGATTTACCCACGTAGTTTTTGCACTGTGCTTTACTGATGATGAGCTGCTTCATCTCAGTGTTTGTAGCAGTCGGACATTGAATGAGAGGCTTTACTTCTCCTCTGGTCTTAAGAGAACTCTTCAGCTACTACCAAATAAAACATGGTATTTTATTATCTAACTATTAACTTTAGGGCGGGGTTGTGGTCTGTCCGCTGGTGCGAGCTCCACGCGTACGCCTGTTTGTGAAATCTGATCTGATATAGATATGTATCTGAACCAACTGATGCCCTGCTGCAAAGCACGTGATGACGTTTTCTTGGGAAATGCTGCACTGAAAATGGACATTACTACTGTTGGATTCAATTCTTTGGCTTTGGAGGGACAGTTTTATGTAAATTAGAAGTCTGCATGTCTCGCAGGTCTTTTTTTCCTAAGACAATGTTATTGTTGCAATAATAACATTGGAAAAAGTCTTTGCATTATTGTGATTGAGGCAGCTCGTGGCGCCCTGCAGGAGCCCTGAGCCGATTAAACTGAGACCGCCATGGGAAATGTAAAACCGCGTAAAAGTCCAAATTACGTGTCAAATTCTATCATGCATTTCTAAATATTTAACTTTAAAATCTTCATGATATCACTGATGTCATGGATGATTTTCTCACTTCTGTGCTTTCGGCTAGATCATGTGAGCTGTTCTGTTTGACAAACAGTAAGGCATTTAAGTTGTATAACGTTCTGTCACATAATGGAAAACCATGTAATCAGACTGAATCCTCACAATTCATAATGGTCAGCGCAGGTGAAAGTCAGCGAGAGTAATAAACTCTAAGTTGGTTTGATACGTTATCAGCATCAGTTTTATTGGCCATCTTACCATATATGGAATTTGCCTCTGGCTTTTCTTTTACTCTCCACACACTGTACAGTTTATACAAATACACAAAACTAACCCCAAAAAAAGCAGGTGAGGGAATAAACATTTAACAACTATACCTATAATGAGATTATATATATATATATATATATATATATATATATATATATATATACACACAGAAAAATATCTACATATAAAAATATAAAACAAAATGTTTTAAACATAACCATAGAAAGGGAACTTTCACTCAAGCATCATTGATTATTATCTGTTTTGCACCTTGTCGCCAGCAAAATCTATGATTCAGATTTATGAGTTGACCTTTTGCATCTGCGACAAAAACAATTTGACACGGCTGCTGTGGAAATTGAGCGGCCTTTGGCTCCGTAAGACGGGGTCTGCCGCCCCGCTGTCACCTCGTGGGTTCATTCATGATCACTCCGCTCCCTTTTTTTTTTTTTGCATGACATGTTGGACTTGGCTTTGTATTCATAGCGCTTCCCACCAGTCTCCCGAGGACTGTGTGCAAAGAGTGACTGACCATGAGTGCAGCTGGTATTTTGCACTCAAAGTGGAGGATCTGGTGTTGAATTCCCCCCACAGCCCGAACGTTAAAATCTGACCTTGTTTAGCTGTGCTGTTCTCTTCAGAGGATCCGCCTGTCTGTGTTTTTCTTCTACTAATGCAATAAAGCGAACTCTTGGTAGATTTTCCATTTAGGTACAAGCAGTAAGATGCGTTTTTTTCCCCAGCAGGCATGATGCTTGGAGGCCGCTGCGTGAGGCAGCCAGGACGCACATGATGGAGGAGGCTGCCAGTCAGCTCGAGCGGGACCATGTGCACAACGTCTATGACAAGATTGCTCCGTACTTCAACGACAGCCGCTATAAAGCCTGGCCGAAGGTCCGGCAGTTCCTGCTGGACCTGCAGCCGGGGAGCATCGTGGCTGACATTGGTGGGTGTCCCCTCCAGCAGAGACGATATCCTTACACTTTATCATTGATGCATTGTTTGAGTCGTTTTAAATCTAATCAGTCCACTTCGGTCCTGGTGCTGCGGCTGACTGTGGTGTCCCCGGACAGGCTGCGGCAACGGCAAGTACCTTCACATCAACGAGGAGGTGTTCAAGCTGGGGTGCGACGTGTGTCACCCCTTGTTGGACTTTGCATGGAGCCAAGGACACGAGGTCCAGATGTGCGACGGGCTGCATTTGCCTTACAGAGACGGCTGCTTCGACGCCGTGCTCTCTATTGCAGGTAATGCGTACGTACGTGAATGGAATCTTTTGATGTTGTTGATTCCTCACATTCAGTAACTAAGTCTCTCCCTTCACATGCATGACGGCGCACTGCTGAAGCTACCGTTTGCCTCCGATTAAATGAGCAAAAACAAGGATAAACGTCAGTTTACCGCAGGATTCTGTTGCCGAGCCAACAGTGTGAAATCATAAATTTGTCCGCTGACAAAAGACTGCAATTGGGAGCACAGACGACAGCAGACGCCCACGTTATTAATTTGTTTTTGTGCGCTACACAGAGTGTACATAATTTGCTCTGTTGAAGTGCTGAATGTGACTTGGCGTCATCATTGAATAAATGATGCTATAGTTCTGACAAATTAATGTTTTTTTTTTTTCTTTCTTTTTTTGCAGTCATCCACCATTTGTCCACCAAAGAACGTCGTATCCGAGCAATAAAGGAGATGGCTCGCACCCTGCAAGTGGGCGGGCGCATCATGATCTACGTGTGGGCCATGGAGCAGAAGCGTCGGCGGTTTGAGAAACAGGACATCTTTGTTCCCTGGAACCCCAACCCTCACTCGCCCCGCGGCTCGGCCGAGGAGCACGGCGAACCCAGAAGCAGGGCCACGGCTCAGAGTGCGAGCGAGGCCATCGACAGCAACGCCGACAAGCACAGGAAAGTCCGGAGCACGTCCTCCGTGGCGGACGAGGAAGCAGACCTGAGCCCCGCCGCGCCGCAGGGCGGCGCGCACAGGCTGTGGTTCTTCTCCAGGTCCCTGGATTCCGTGTGCGACTTCGGAAGCCTGGTCGCCTCCCGGTCGTCCTCCAGAGAGCTGAGCACTTTACCCCCCACCCCGGGCGAAAGCGAGGGGAACAAGGCCAGCCGGCGCGGGAGAGGCCTCATCAAACGGGTATCGAGCTTCTTTTCCCCTTCGCCCGTGATCGGGTCCGAGGAGGACGTCTTTGACCCCGTCGCAGACCTGCACAACAACAACAACCGCGGCGGCACGCAGAGCGAGGGCGCCTCGGTGTCGCTCGCCCGGGAGTGCGGCTCTCTGGCCCTGCCGGATCTGGTCCCTTTCCAGAGGGAGCACCTGGTGCAGCCCGGAGGGGAGAGAGAAGGAGGGCCGCAGGGGAAAGAGAAGCGGGAAAGCACAACGGGTTCTCTGGGGAGCGAGGGCCACGTGGAGGGCTCCTGCCTGAGGTACTATCACGTTTTCAGGGAGGGAGAACTAGCAGAGCTGATCCAGAATCACATTGAGGAGCTTTGTGTCAAACACACCTACTTTGATCACGCCAACTGGTGTGTGGTGGCAGAGAAAGTTCGCTTAGGGAAAATATGATTTTTAACTTGATTTTATTGTCTTGCGTCAACTCTGCCTCAAGTTTTAGCACTGAATCCCGCATTTGATGACAATGCAATATTGTGACTGGAAAGTGAATATAGAGATGTAGAAGTTGTTAAAAGTACACTAAACTATTCCTTTGCTGCATTTCTCTCCTTAGTTTGTGTAACTTAATGGCATCACATCTCATTTTAGATGGTATCACTGTAATGGTTTTGCAGCAGCAGTAGAGGATGGAGGTTTTCAACAATGGCCTTCACTGTAAAAACAATATTGCTGTTTTCACGTATTTATTATATATATATATCAATACATGAAACCTACAAGCATTATCCACAGTTCAGTGTGTGGTCCCTTTTAGTATCAATATTTATTTTTTATTACCAAACCACAGCGTGCTCCAGTGCCGCTAATGATTTGGACTCTTTTAAAGAGAATTTCTGCACCAGAGATTTAAAGAAATGCACCGTTTGTCTCTTTGGACTTTTGATATTAGCCAAAGAGGAATTTGTGGAGATGCATTACGCTCTTCCACCTGATCTAAAATGTTTTACTGTGTTAATAATAATAATTTGTACTCAGTTATTTGATTCTTGAAAATAAGCTAAACGATCTGTTATGAACTCTTGTGTAATATCTCAGAACACCATTGTAAGAGCTCAAAGTTGTGCAGAACATCTTCCTAAGCATTTGTGTATTTACATTTTATTCTCCAAGCGTTTCAAAGGCTGAGCTGCCAGTGTACGTGTGCTTGGTGTCTGTAAAAGTTGTAAACATGTGTTGTCTTGAATTAACAAATACACTGCCTCATATAATGTGAATAAACATTGCACTGTACTACAAATATATCGCTGCTTGATGTCAGCCAACGAAATAAACAAACCTATTAGTGCAGTATGTGTGGACCAACTGTGTTCATTTTAAAGAGACGCTGGTACCTTAATGTCTTGTGTCTTACTGTTGTAAATACTGAGTTTGAATTTGTTTTTCATTAATAAATATTTTTGTCCATGAGTCTTGTGCTGCCTTTACCTTTCATGAATGATACCTGTAAGAATTTGGAAGACCCTTAATTTCCCACATGTAGGGATCAATAACAAAAATGTTTAATAGTTTTAGACAGTTGCAACTATAAAAGAACCGATACAGTATATTGATATACTGTGCATCCGGATCCAGTATTCACAGCGCTTCACTTTTTCCACATTTTGTTATGTTACAGCCTTATTCCAAAATTTCCTTATTTTCCTCAACGTTCTACACACGACAACCCATAATGACAACGTGAAAACTGTTTTATGACATTTTTTGCAAATCTGTTTGTATCTGGCAGAGGGTACATAAAGATTTCTGCAGCATTGAAAGTCCCAATGAGCACAGTGGCCTCCATCATCTGGAAATGGAAGAAGTTTGGAACCACCAGGACTCTTCCTAGAGTTGGCCGCCAGCCAGACTGAGCGATCGGGGGAGAAGGGCCTTAGTCAGGGAGGTGACCAGGAACCCGATGGTCACTGACAGAGCTCCAGCGTTGTTCTATAAAGAGAGGAGAACCTTCCAGAAAGACAACTATCTCTGCAGCACTCCACAAATCAGGCCCGTTTGGTAGAGTGGCCAGACAGAAGCCACTCCTCAGTAAAAAGCACATGACAGACCATGAGAAACAAAATTCTCTGGTCTGATGAAACAAAGATTGAACTCTTTGGCCTGAATGCCAAGCGTCGTGTCTGGAGGAAACCAGGCACTGCTCATCACCTGGCCAATACCATCCCTACAGTGAAGCATGGTGGCAGCATCATGCTGTGGGGATGTTTTTCAGCGGGAGGAACTGGGAGACCAGTCAGGATTGAGGGAAAGATGAATGCAGCAATGTACAGAGACATCCTCGATGAAAACATGCTCCAAAGCGCTCTGGACCTCAGACTGGGGCGATGGTTCATCTTCCAACAGGACAACGACCCGAAGCACACAGCCAAGATAACAAAGAAGTGGCTTCGGCACAACTCTGTGAATGTCCTTGAGTGACCCAGCCAGAGACCTGACTTGAACCCGATTGAACATCTCTGGAGAGATCTGAAAATGGCTGTGCACCGACACTCCCCATCCAACCTGATGGAACTTGAGAGGTTCTGCAAAGAAGAACGGGAGAAACTGCCCAGAAACTGGTGTGCCACGCTTGTGGAATCATCCCCAAGAAGACTTGAGGCTGTAATTGCTGCCAAAGGTGCTTCAACAAAGTATCGAACAAAGGCTGTGAATACTTATGTACATGTGATGTTTTCCTTCTTAATTTTTAACAGATTTGCAAAAAAGTTTTCACTTTGTCATTATGGGTTGTTGTGTGTAGAATGTTGAGAAAAATACTGAATTTAATCCATTTTGGAATAAGGCTGTAACATAACAAAATGTGGAAAAAGTGAAGCGCTGTGAATACTTTCCGGATGCACTGTATTAAACATGTTAAATCCCCCTTTAGTCAAAACATACCACATTATTAAGAGAACATTCTTTTTGCAACAATGTAAATCCGCTGTATATACAGAATTTGTAAATATACAGTACATCAAATTATTGATTAATATGTCGCATTGCCCTACTTCTTGAATTCCAAATAAAACCATTGGCCCCTGAGGATCAAGTACTGGTGCAGCTCTGAGGCTCCTCTTGATTTAGGACGTCTCACATTCCACATTCCCTCCACACCTGAAACAGGAAGGACCATGAATGCAAAATAGACCTTTTGTTTACTCAGACAGTTGGCACGTTGTGGAGACTTTCAAAGCTAACACCTTTGTGCGCGCTGTACCTGAGTTGCTGCTCTGTGAACGATGGAGTGTCTGGCGGCCAGGACGTCGATGTCTCTCGAGTATCCTCCTCCGATGACGGCGGCCAGAGGAACACCTCTACTCACCACGCTCTTCATCACGTACAGATCTCTCTGATACAGCCCTGGGAGACGCACACGGTCATTAGAAATGGCTCGTGGATGCAGATGAACGATGCGGTGTCGGAGCTGCCATCGGTCACCTCGGTCAGTGAGCCGGAGCCGCCCCAGTTCATCGTCCCGATGGGGGTCGACGCCCGCGTCGTACAGGACCAGGTCTGGACGGAAGGTCTCCAGCAGCCAAGGGAGGTGGGCCTCCACTGTAGAGAACATCAAAGTAATGAAGTTTGTGGAAACACATACGCATTTCATTTTAAGACTTTTTTTTTTTAAAAGCCGCTAAGAGAAATAGAAACAAATGTCAACTTCCAACTTTATACACCGTGTGGCTGGAACTCATTTTAATGGCGAGTGTGAACTCACCTGTGGAGAGGTACTCCTTGTCCTCCAGCCCATCCTCCACGCTGACGTCGAGGTCACTCTGTTGTTTACGGACGGGGAAGTTTTTCCCACAATGCACAGAAAACGTAAACACATCCGGCTCCTCTTGAAAGATGAACGCAGTGCCGTCGCCCTGTAGGATGCGAGCGATGGAAGGTTTACCGGCATTGCGTTGAGCTGCTCGTAGGATGGAAGAATTACATGTTGGCGTGACAATGCAAGTAGCAGAGACAAGTTAACACTACCTGATGCACATCTAGATCCACAATCAGAACCTTCCTTTTGGTGGAGGAGTTGCCCATCAGGTATCTGGCCGCAACCGCCAAGTCATTGAGGAGACAAAACCCTGAACCGTAGCTGGGAAACGCATGATGGGTCCCTCCTGCCGTGCTGCAGGCCAGACCCCTCTGCAGAGCAGCTTCAGCAGCCAGGACAGTCCCACCTGGCAACACGGAGAAGGTGACACGTCACGCGTGACCTCTCCTGGCCTTTGGGCTGCTCGGTCACCGTGGGGGTGGGTGTTCTTCTTACCTGTTTCATACCGACAGCGTCTCACTATACCTTCACTCCAGGGAAAACCTGTCCTCCTTTGTTCTTGCTCATTCGTTTTCCCACCTATGAAGTTGTTGAGGTATTCCTCAGTGTGCACACAGCGGAGTAAGTCTTCAGAGGCGATTTCAGGGAGCCACACCTACTGTGAAGAAGAAGAAGGAACTTCTCATTAGCAGGAAAATGCGACCAAACAGGGGCACTTTACTATATTCTTTATAATTATAAAAGGAAAATGAAATCCAACCAGGGTGACATCTTTGAATGTTTTCTGCCTAAAAGATTTCATGAGTTGACTAATCGAGCCTATTAGAAAAAAACTACATGAATGACTCGCTCACCTGTTTCTCTGTAATGACCTGATCTTTGATTAAATGATGCAGAACCCGGGGGAACTTGGCCATGGGGAACCTGTGGTTGGGAGGCAGGTCGCACACATACTTGCTGTGATGAACTATCGGAAGTGCGCTGGACTCGTGTCGGACCTGGAAGGTGAAGAGGCTCACTGCGAGGTCACACATTACGTTTGCGATGTAACAACAATGAACAGAAGCTCCTTACTGGTTCAGTGTGGAAACATCTGCAGGCGGCCGAAGCGACTTTAACGCCGAGTCTCGTAGAAATTACAGCGCAGGTCATCGCTGTCACTGACGTCAATCCGCTGAAAGACTCGATGCAGAGACGGTAACATGTTATGAAACGGGACAGGGAGGCGCGTGTTTCACTGTGTGTCTGCGGCCTCCAGCGCCCCCTGCTGGCGCGGAGTGGGAACAACACGAGTAGCGCTGGTTCTTCAGGCGCAGAGGAGAAAACGTGGCAGGCTTTGCACGAGTTAGTGTAGCCGATATACCAGCACAGTATGTTTGTGGATAAGTCAAAAGTCAGTGCCTGACTAGACACGAATCTCACCGCACATCACTGACTAATATGTCAGAGATGTATTTTGGGGTCCTGAGCCATGAACTGAGAATGAGAGCCAGGTATGGAATGTGCGTGCTCCTGTGGAGTAAATGATCACCAACCGACTCATTAAAACGATTAGTGATGATGCACGAATGGCATGAAGACTCAGTTATAGAACTGAATAAAATATAAATGTTAATTTTAATTGAATAATCTTCTTTTATTCTACTTTTACACAAATCTAATTTTCATTCGGTACATTTTCTCTTTTTTTCTTCTCTTGATGCACCCAATGGTCGTAAGTCTTTTTACTTCTAGCGTATTTGCATAAAGAGTCGTCTTCTCCTCCTCGCTGTCAGTACCCTGATCATCTTTAGCAGTATGATTGGTTGTTAGAAGATACTTTATGGTGTCACAGTGAACTCATGTCACACTAAGAACCTTCACTGTCTTCACTCAGCGTGGTCCAGTTTCAAGTGACAGAGGAATCAAAGGATACTGTGATGTATTGCATATAATTCACTTGCATTTCACAAGTTCAAAAAATGGGGCCTATTGGTGCTTTTATGGTTGAAAGATAGATGCCTTTTGAGCTCAGAATTGCAATCATTTCCTTATCACTGTAATGGTGTGTAATGAGCTACTTTTGGGGCTCCTCCTGCCTCTCCCATCTGTCGCTGTTTTACATTGCTAACAGGCAGCTCAAGGCACTCTGGCGTACCTTTGCCTGTGTGTGTCTGTGTAAAGAGTCTGGTGAATGGGGATTAGGGCTGCCCCCCACTGGGCAGGGCTGGTTTGCTCATGGGCAGATGAGAATCTGCCGGATAACAAATAAAGATGAGAGCGTTGGCCCCAGGTGCACGGGAGACATCTCCTCAGAAGAAAGAGAGAGGATTAAAGAGCTGAAATTGATTACCGACCTTATCTTCGTGAAAAGGCATTTGAATAGAGGGCGAGAATAAAGGGACTCCAGTATGTGCTGGCATAAACATTGTTGGCTTCACACAGACAAAGGCTCTATTTATTAACACATAGATTTCTCTATTTCATCTTATCTGTTTAATGGCACGCCACTTTCTTTTAGCATGTGTTAGCTCAAATACCTCAGCGGTAACACGTTATATTAGAATTGAGGTACATAATAGGGGGCCCCTGTCCATCACTTGATAGTCTTAATTATTTGGCCAATCCAAGCCTTTTGGTCAGACACATATTCGCATGCTCCTTTGCAGTATTAACCATCTGTACATTTGTTATCAAGGACTAAGAAAACCAGTAAAAATCTTTCAATTCAATCAATAAATTATTATCAAAACAGCTGCTGAATTAATGTTAATTGATTGACTAAAAGATGAATGAACTTTATCTATTGTAAAACCTTATAGTCAGTCTACAAATTAAGTTTCAAGGAGATGCTAATAGATGATCATACCATTCAGAAAACAATGGATGCTCGAAACAACGGCAACTGTACATTCAGAGTCTAAAACCCCAAAGAATGCAACCAAATGTAAAAATATAGCCAATTTGAAGTAGGGGTTAAAAGCAATCTGCTGGTGTGCTCCGTTCATAAGCAGCAGTGAAAGAGAATTCCCAGTTTACAGTCAGCTGTCTGCTTCAGAGCAGCTGCTTGCAAGGCCTCGCTGTTCCTAACAAAGATAAAGAGGAGGCTGACGACTGTTCAGCTGTCATCAAATGTTCGCTTCTCTCATCGGCTAAAATGTTAGCACGCTGACTCAAGTCGAGCCCTCTGAAATCCCCTTTTGTCAGCATGGTGTCGTCATGCATTAATGTCAGACTGTCTCAGGTGTTTCCCTGCTTTCAAGGTTTCACCAACAAAGACGCGCGTCTGACTTGACTCAAAGTTCGACAAATATTTCAAGTCTTTGGTTCACGCGAGGACGGGATCAATGACTTCCTGCGCGCAACATGGTTCAACCGAATAAACAACCCTGTTCTCTGCATGTCCCTGTCATCTCCACATTCAACTTCACGTTCCTGTCTGTTTACGGAGCCAAGCGAGCGGAGTGAGCCTTTCAATTACTCAACAGCACGAGCACAACGGTGGGGCCCGCGAAACCCCCCGGTCCTCACCCTCCGCCTCACAACTCAGAGCGGAAGGAATTCGCTGGTGGATTGCGAGTGATGGCAGAGCGTGTTGCAGCAGGTGAGGACAGCGGTTGTTTTTGGAGGGAATTAATTTGCAGCTTCTCTCTGGGCGCGATGGTGACGGCCTGCCGCCTCGTCCCTCTGAGGCGAGGCTGAGCTGATCCACCTCACACCCCGGGCCTCCCGTAATCACATACGTGCTGCGATGGAATCGTGCAGAAGTGTAGTTTTGGTCAATGATTACATCCGTCCTCGATGTCACCACTCATTGTTTGGGAATGTCTTCACAGCTGTTTGCTAAGTCTTGCCATATTGTTGTGTGGCTGTTGCGTGGCTGTTGCGCGGTAAGCAGCGGGTGCTGCTGCTCACATGTGTTGTCAAAAAGCAAACATGTGTGCCGGTGAAATAACAAGGAGTGAGGTCAAGAATACACACACACACACACACACACACACCCCAATATTCGCCAAGCCTTGAAGCTTTTTTTTTGTGCTGGGAAATGATGAAAAAATGTAACTGGATTAATCATGATTTTCTGTGATTAACATCAATTAATCTCTCTTTCCTGAACAATATAACCAGCAAGACAAAACCACCTTTCACATGGTGCAGATGTGCTTCAGACTGCGGTGTGAGTCTTTCATGTTGTCGATGAGAGAAACCCTCGGTGCTCGTTGTAATGCTGTCACTCAATCTCCTTGTGCGTGTTGGGGAGGCTTTAAGTAGTACTTCAGGCTCATAGTACTCCGGTACTTTATTTTTAACTTTTATTTGTAATTTAAATTCCTTCTTATCCGTTATTTTTAAATTGTTCTTTCTATATCCCTTTACCCCATAGCCTTATATTTTATTTTATACCGTAAGTCAAATTGTAAATCTGTAACAGGGCATTTTCTTGCATGTTGTCTTACTGTCTGATGTTACGCACCAGCCGCCAAGTAAAATTCCTTGTAAGTTTAATATATTTTAGTAATAAATGTTTCCTGATTCCTGAAAAAACACTTCTAGTTTGCAGTGGTTACGAATAGCTTTGCTTTTATCGATTACGCCCTCTGAAAGAGATTTCAAATGAAAATATCCATTTAAAAGCGCAGGACCTTTCTAGTTTCTCGGTTAATGTGTTAAGACTAAAAATGCTGTTAACGTATGATAAAATCATTGTTGGTGTTAATGGATTGCCACATTAACACATTTAAAACACATTAAATGTCCCCAGCCCTGTTTTTTTTTTACTTCAGAAAGAATATTTATTGTGGCTGGTAGTTCACCCGTTTGTGGTTTTGTTAAGTTCTGAATTGGAACATGTTCCTCTTGTGGTATTTTTTGGGGGGGTTTCATCGTCTGAGCTCATAACATTTCGTTTTTAATCAGCCTCTCTCAAAAGAAAAGACCGCACAACAACACAACCACAACAACTCTGTGATGGTTGGATCGGCTATTGGGATACAGACAAAATGAGAATGCGGAGTGAAGTGATAATGCAGAACATCTGTCCCGTGGTCCGTGGTATGCCGGGAATCCGATGGGGAGTCTGAAAGCAGCAGAGATATTGAGTCTGACTGGTATCGCTGGAATTTTTTTCCAATGAAGTCTGTATTTTGCTCGTCTGTTTTTCCACAGTTGAGTGGTTCGTGTTGCATAAGAGCTGCGAGCAGCGGGAGAAAAACAAACAAGCACTGAAATAGTCTTCATGCTTTTACACGTTCTGTTCTTAGAAATGAATGTTATCGGTGTTGCGGGCGCAGATAAAACGTGATGATATTCAATACTGGTAAATGTGGCCCTGTCAGTGTTTGCTGCCTTGACAGACTCGCTCTTGTTCTGTGCAGCAGCAACATGTTGCGTCGCTGGCAGGCAACCCTGCGACCATTCAGCCACATGTTTCAGCAACACAGCTGGCTCCATTATCTCCCCCTCACTTTAATCTCACTGAGCCACGCGAAGACCAGAGGCAATTCAAAATGTCTGCCCCATCTTGACAGCTGTGTCGATCCCGCTGACGAGGGGAAGACGGAGGAAAGAGACAGCCGTTTTGCATACACTGCAAAACATTCTCATGAACCGTGAATTCAATAATCCGATGAACCTGACATCAAGCTCCATAACTTCAGTGGGACGTGAAACAGGTTTCTTTTGCGATAATTTGGTTGCTTTATTTTTTGGTAGTTAAACAATTGCTCCAAAGATCAATATTGAATGATGAAAAATGTCTGTCGCTCATGAAAGACAAATATGAAAATGAGTGTCTAGAATTGCTGCTGAGGCAGAATCATTCTAACTTTTATTTCATCCTACGGGTCAAACCTCAAGAAATGTTTCCACAATCCCCATAATGCTTGTTAACTAATCCTAAACTAGTTGATACGCAGTTCTGAGTTGTTTTGATTAAAGAATATTTTTATTAGTGTATAATTTCATAGTTTGTACTCGAGGCTGAAATATCTTGCACGAGCTTGATTCAGGATGTTACTTGTCATGCCTTAATGTTTTACAAAGTCTAAAATGCAGACAGAACAGACCAATTTCAAAATAGAAACAAATGTGTGCGATCAATCAAAATGTCCCAACAAAAAGTGTAGTCTGCATTGAGATTGATTATTCTTTGAAAAGGTACTTTGTACCTTCGGGGGGTTGCAATTCTTTGGTGAGTAGGTCACGAACTCTGTCAACTTCAATCTGTTCTCTCCCATCTGAAGTGAGCCG